AGGTCAGGCACACCCGGGACCCCGCGCCCCGCCTCGGCCACGTAGGCGCCCAGGGCTGCCCACACCTGACCCGGCTCCCGAAACGCGGACGATCCGGATCTGAGCCACCCCTGCTCTGTACTGGTTCGGTCCATTGGGGACCTCACCATGCGCTGTGCTCTAAAACAGCACACGGACCAGGGAAGACTTAGCCCCTGGTAACTGTTCACTCCGTCTCCACGAGTTCCTCCTTCCACTGAACTCCACCTGTGCGCACTAGCGTTTACTTCGCTCGCTATCCTGCTGTGATCTCTTGCTCTGTTTCTCAAGTTTAGGATAACGCTTCTCTTCCCGTGTAGCAAGGTCTGGCCTCTATTTTAAGCTCTTAAGTATTTCAAAGAAGTTTTCTGTAGCAACCCAATCTAAAATCACCAGCCAGTCCCGTAAATCACATCACTTTATGCCAATCCATTGCTCAGCACCTATCACTGTCTGATCCTTCTTTCCCTGTTGAGTTCTTCCTTATTCCTGCCCAACTCAGATGTCATTGAGGGCTGCATCCCCGAGATATAGAAAAAGACCTGTTGCGGGGTAAACGCCCAGTTACTGAGTGAATACTTGCGATTATTGTAACCCCTGGCACATTCTAGACGCTCCAAAAATGGATCAGCTACTACATGGCTATCCAAAGGAATATTCATAATGGGGCAGGCAGTTGTGTGTAGTAATGGCTACTGGAGGCAGGGCCAGCTCAAGGATGTGCGACCTGTGTCCCACAGGGCTTCTAATTTAGATGACGCTGGCGCTTAGTTTAATACTCTTTGTCACCATCTTAAAATTCTTAAATTTTCTACAAGGAACCCTGCATTTTCTTTTACGCTGGTCTTGAGAAGTACCTAGCCCCCAGGTGCCTAGATGTCTCCTGCTTCGTTTTCTACAGGAAGAGGCCCCTTAGGTGACATTACAAAACAACACTGAGATGTTAAGTCCACTAAAGGCGGAAACACTTTGAAAGTTTTATTTTCTCAGCCAGGTGTGATGTCACATGCTATAATCCCAGCTACTCAGAGGCTGAGGCAGGAGGATAGGGATCTTGAGGCCAGCCTCATCAACATATGGAGACCCCCATCTCAAAAAACATTTTTTTTAAAAAAAGCTTTTATTTTCACTTCTGAAATAATACATTATAGTGCTTGTTAGGCTTCAGGGGACACAGACTCCTTTGGGAATCTCAAAGAATAAATAAAAGCTCTGATCCATCTCCCTGGGAAAATACCTCTGCATATGAAATTTGTACTTATAAATTGATAATGTGAAATAGGAAGAAAAGGGCTAAAGGAGTAGAGGAAGTGGGAAGGGTAGGGGAAAGGAAAGAAGGGACAAGAACAAAATATGAGAAAAGGAAAAAAATGGAAACAAAGTCTTTGTAAATAGGGAAGGGTAGCGGGGGTGAAGGAAGAGGAGGGGTATGGGAAACAATAAGAACCAAGGTACATCATGTAAAGATAACAAGATCCAAATGATGAATGTAATTGTACTGTATACCTAAAAAGTACCAATAAACTTAATGGAAAATTTTAAAAAATAAAATTTGTACTATACGTATTCATGCCTCCAGCACTGTACCTGGAGACCTGGGAGAAAAGGGAATTTCAGTCTTGGGGTCTGAGCCAGAAATGACTGACCTGTTGTATTCACCTGATTGCATGCCTTGCCATGGTCTCCAATACTCAGGGCTCTAACAGACATATCAGTAACAGGCAAGGGTTCGAGTCAAAGGGGTACACCCTGGTCAGAATTTGGTATGACTTTGAGAAAGAAATAAGCAAGTTATTTAATCTGTCTAAACTTTTATTTTGTTATCTCTAAATTGCTATGAAAACAAACAGCTTTCTAAATTGCAACTGATTTTACAAGTTATATCAAAATATTACAAATATTAATTCACAATCACTTTTTGTGCTTCTGATGTGTGAAAAGCCCTAAGAGGGCTAAAAATTTGAATATAGTCACTGGGTTCAAGAAGTTTAATGTATAGCAACAAAAACAAAACACTATTTCCTGGTCCTTTAGGCTACAAGTAACAGAAAACTGTTATTAAGTGGCTTGGACAATAAGGAAATGTATTGCTTCTTGTAGTAGGCAGTCCAGAGGCACAATAGGCATGTACAGCTTAATAATATCATTAAGAGACCAGATTCTTTCTGTTTCCTCTGTCAGGCTAAGAGCATGGTGGCTGTAGCTTTTTGGCAGGTCATATCTAGACATCCAGGGGCAAAAAGGACATATTCTTTCATGTCTTCTTCCAAGATGTGGGAACTCTCCAAGAATCCTCCCAGCAGACATCCTCAACTTGTTATTGGCCAGAAACGTATCACAGATCAATAGAGGAGATCACTCATTGGATTTCCAGTCATCCAGAATGTAGTGGATGCTGGAGGATCTTCACAATGCCAAATACAGACACATAAAGAAACACAACAGCATGGCCAGGCATGGTGGTGCACGCCTGTAATCCCAGAACTCCGGAGGCTGAGGCAGGAGGATTGCTGTGAGTTCGAGACCAGCCGGGGCTAAATAGTGAGTTCCAGGTCAGTCTCAACTACATAGTGAGATCCTGTCTCAAAAAAGAAAGAAAGAAAGAAAGAAAGAAAGAAAGAAAGAAAGAAAGAAAGAAAGAAAGAAAGAAAGAAAGACAACACCCAGGTGTGATATAGCACATATGTTATTCCAGCTACACAGGAGGTTGAGGCAGGAGACTGTAAGTTTGAGGCCAGACTGGGCAATTTAGCAAGACCCTGACTCAAAATTTTTAAAAAATATATAAATAGATAATATAGATATATATGCTAGAGATGTAGTTCAACACTCCCTAGGTTTGATCTCTAATACCATAAAATACTAATAGTAATAGTTACAGTAAACACATCAAGCCTGATGTGATAAAAGAGCCTGACTGCTACATATCAGGAGAAAGAAGTTAATTCCACAGAAGTGCGGTCATGTTCTGAGAACATCCAGGAACGTGGTTAATTATACCATACAGCAAGGGGTCATGGGAAAGATAAAAGTGAGGCTCCATTTGTGGCCAAATTTTTAAAGCCCTGATATCTCAACCAGGGACTAGAGTTTCCTTTGGTGAGAGAGATGAATGTGTGTAAAAGGGGTTACAGTGGGACTAAAAGAATGATATAGCCACCAAGAAGAGGCAGGAAACCCAAGTTCTAGATCTGGCCTGCCATTCATTCATGGAACACTTTATACTTACCTGTGAGGTTCTCCAGCTCCAAACCATAAAGGCACTGCATCATCCTAATGAAAATGAGAAAAATTGAAGCAGGAAAAGTGGTAGTAGGAATAGAAAAGACCACATGGAGTTTAGGGACACTTTTTGTTTGTTTGTTTGTTTGAGACAGGGTCTCACTATGTGGTTGAGACTGACCTGGAACTCACTATGTAGTCCAGGCTGGTCTCAAGCTCACAGCAATCCTCCTGCCTCAGCCTCCATTACAGGTGTGCGCCACCACACCTGGCTAGGGACACTTTTAAGGGCTGAAATTATAGAGACCATGAGAGGAGAAAGAGAAGTTTCTAGAATAGGAAGGAGTGCTGCCATTGACATGGTCAGGAAAAGATACTGGATTTGGTGTGTTAATGGGACATCAGAGAGACAACTTGGGTCTTGGGCCTAGAGTTTATAAGGAAAACAAGGCAAACGACATAATTATGGGTCAGCCATGTGAGATGATAGTAGAAGCCATAACCTAAGTGTCTTCCTTGGGTCAAAGAGGAAAGACAACCTGGGCCATTGAAGGAAACCAGAACAAGGCTCACCACTGGGAAGGGAGTCATCTGGAAAAGTCAAAGGATGACCTATGTGTTAAATTCTTTGTAAAAAGTTCAGGACCAAGAAAAAGCCAGGGGTTTTAGGAATTAGAAAGTGAACAGTGTTTAGGGAAAACCACTGCAATAGAATGGCAGGCACAGATCAGAGTGATGTGAAGGGGGGCAAGTGTGCAGACTGCATCCTTAGGGAACTCCAGAGTGATGAGGGAGATGGAGCAGAGGCAAAGTAAGGGAAAGCATTTGGTTTGGGATGCATTTTAGGATAGCTCAGACAGAAGTAGGCATAATGTGAAGTACGCTTCAGAATCCCTTTTACTTACATAGACCCCTTCTAAATAAATGTTAACTTCTGTTCCTAATTTGGTGTTTATACTTTGGTTTTTCTTTCTTTTTTTTTTTTTTTTTTTTT